CCTTCCCCCCCCCCGGCGGCGCTCTGCTCCTCCACTGGCCGGCAGATTGGAGAGGGCCGCACCACCCAGAGCATGGGCTTCAGCCAGCCCGTCACAACAGCCCACCAGGCCAGTCCGCCCCTGCACTCACCAGCTGGTAAAATCTACTCGCCACGGGCAAGCGAGCGATTTCATTTGTCGAGCCCTGTAAATTAGGGATGTTAGATTCAGTGTAATTGAACAGTTGTGTAACAGCATGAAATATCAGTTACATGATTATTCGATCCCAGAGCATGGGCTTCAGCCAGCCCGTCACAACAGCCCACCAGGCCAGTCCGCCCCTGCACTCACCAGCTGGTAAAATCTACTCGCCACGGGCAAGCGAGCGATTTCATTTGTCGAGCCCTGTAAATTAGGGATGTTAGATTCAGTGTAATTGAACAGTTGTGTAACAGCATGAAATATCAGTTACATGATTATTCGATAGTCCCCACGGGCAGGCCCAGCAGCCAGTGAACTCCCAACCCCCTGCCACCCACACTGCTACCTCTGATACAGAGGCAGCAGCACAGGATGGCAGCAGCCCTTGTCTGTGGGGGTCTGAGCTCCCCATGGGGGAGGCTGCCGTGAAGCAAGTTCTGCCCACAGCTGCTTGGGCTGGGCCCACCATGGACAGAGACTGCTCCCAGGAACCAGCCTCTGTCCACTGCAGGTGCAGGCTCACTGCAGACAGAGTCTGGTCAGGAAGCAGCCTCTGTCCACCGGGAGCACCCCCATCCCCGCAGACAGAGGCTGCTGGTGGACCAGCCTCCTTTGCTCCTTCCCACCACAGAGCCATGCTGGAGGGAACTGGCTTTTTAGTCGGCTCCCTCCAGCACCGGCTCCTGCCTGACCCCCTCACTGCCTCTATAGGAAGCAGCAAGTGGGGAGTAGGCAGGTCTGGGGAGCTGGCACGTGCGGAGAGCCAAAAGCCATGTATCTGCTCCAGCCTGCCCCTCTCACGTTCCATGCTGATGCCTCTGTATCAGAGACAGCAGTGCAGGGGTGGGGCCAGCAGGCAGATCTGGTGCTTGTGGGGAGCCTGCTTAAAGCCAGCTCCTCATGGGCACCAGCTCTTGCTTCCCCCACCCCTGATACAGAGGTAGCCAGTGGGGGAGGGGGAGTGCATGTAGTCGATAGGATTAACCAATAAACCAACGCTTATTGGTTAATTGTGTAGTAGACTACACATTGACATACCTACTTTAAATACCAGGAACAGTTTGTTTAAATTTTTAGATCCCTTAAACAAAAATATAACAAGGGAGTAGCAGCAATACCCTTCTAATGTATTTAAGAGTCTTTCAAGGATAAATGAAAAATGGTGTTGCTCTCAAGTCAACCCCCATTTGCTTAGTAACATGCTCAATTATTCAGTTAATTCTCTCCTTTCTCAATATGCATAACTACCTGCTGTGTATCTTGCTTGCTACTATTGCTACTAATTAACACCTGTGCAACCTAGGAAAGAATGTGCACATCAACTCCCCCAGAGCAATGCATTACTGATACTGACTTGCCAAAGAACAATTGGACATTGGAATCGTTAAGGCAGGGGTGAGAACCTTTATTGGGTAGGGTGCCACTGACCCACAGAAAAATCAGGGGCCACACACACACCAGTGAGAAGAAAAAAATATATACCTACAAACCCTCACTGACATCGCCCTCAACTGAGAAGGAGAAAGACACTCCTTATATTCCCCTCATACACCACAGCCTGAGGGTGCCCTGGCTAGTAAATTTTGTGTGCTCCACTACCGTGGAGGAAGGGGGAGGACAGTAGGGAGCTGGAGCATCAGCCTGGGCTCCTCAATGCTGGGGGAGAACCCTGAGCCTTGGGGGCCAGATCCAGGCAAGCCAAGGGGCTGGGCCTTAAGTTCCCCACCCCTGAGTTAAAGGGACTATACATAAATAGAAAGAAGTGTACAGAATAAATTTAAAAAAAAAATCTGTTCTCAGTTACTGTAATTTTGTGCTTCTTGGTTAACTGTAGGAACAATTTTTGGACAGAGATGTGATTTTATTTTGATACCTGTTAACAAGCACCAGTTTGTTCCTACTTTTAACCAACTAACACCAAACACAATAAAGCATCCTTTTAAATGCTATTTACAAAGATGAAGAACATTTTCATCTGGTAGTTAAACATGGCAATGTGGCAAACAGTATGGCTGTCTTGTCACAAACCAATTCTACAAGTCAAATACACAGAGAAGTGTTGGAGTTACAATTCATACACAAGTTCAATTCTCACACGAAATGACCTCAATCGAGATGAGGGATAGCTGGGACATTATCAACCTAACATTCAATGAAGGTGCAAACAGCTCTTTGTCTGTGTAGATCAGTGTTTCCCAATTGGTGCTCCAGAGAACCCTAAGGATCCGCGAAGTGAAAGTAAGGGTTCCGCAAGGAGCAGGCACTCCCCCGCCCCCCCCCCCCCGTGTAGCTTTTTTTCTCTCTCTCTCTCTTCTTTGCTCAACGAAACGCAGCAGGGGCCTTTTTTTTTTTTTTTTTTTTAAAGGCAACTCTAGGAGTTCCATGGCCAAATAAAATTGGGAAACACTGGTGTAGATTCTTGCATTAGTACCTTTCCTATCTATTGCTATCCTTTGATCCTTATCTGCTCCTTTTTAACTATCCAATCTTCAAGTGCTTATAGATTTGCCAGTTCTGCCTACTTGTTTCTCCCTTTAATAATTTTCATACAGTCTGCTCCTTGTCCCCCCCCCCCCTTTTTCCTTTCCTCCTCTCCTGTCTCCTCTATATATTTTGGGTCTGCACATCATAAACTCAAACTCTGGTAATCTGAAGAAATGGGCTGTGCCCATGAAAGCTCATGATACCATCTATATGTTTTGTTAGTGTATAAAGTGCTACCAGGGCATTTGTTGTTTTTTAAGTTTATCCTGTACAGACTAACTCGGCTACCCTCTGAAGTATGCTGTATAGTTCAGAATTCTTACATTGGATGTTTTTAATTAATATGCAGTTTTACTAAATTTATGGAATTGAAGACTGAAAACAAAAATGTATGCAGCTATTTCTTAAAATTATCACTATATTTATAAAATTAGTTTGTGATAAGAACTATTATTCATATTTCCAAAGCAGAAATCTGAAAGTTAAACTTTCCCTTCTGATGTTACACTGTTCTATTTTTAGCAAACACCTACTTTGCATTATGAAAACATTAAAATAGACACCAGATTTTAAGAGCCCTGAAGATTATGGACACACCTATGCATTTTACATTTAAAAAGACGAGCTTAAAAATTCTACATATTGGCTAGTTTAGTTGTCAATGTTTTGTATTTTTTTCCTGAGGAAAACATTAATCCATTTAAGACAAATAAAAATTCTCCACAATGCACATGTATCCGTTATTCACAGTTCAGTAAGTAACTCAAGAAATTAAGACTACCTGTTACTCAAAACATGTATATAATTTCTCTCCATCTCTAGGTATTGATAAAGCATTTTAAAAAGAGGTCATGGTAACAGTACCGAGATAATACAGTAAATTAGTTTACATTACATACCAATTTAAACTAAATTCTAGGAGGTCTAAAAAGAAGATTCACGCAGGCCATAGGTTTCTGCTGTTATTTTGCATCAGTCCCACTATGCTGACAGAAAAACAATTTTCACGAGTTGGGAGTGAATTCGGAAGCAGTTTGCGTTCGCAAATACAAGTGCAGTATGCTGCACTCCGTGCTCTTCAGCTGCACGGTACAGAGTTATAACCTGAATAACTTCTTTCTAGGAGCGACTTTTAATAAACATCAGACACCCCAGAAACGGACGAGACCTGGTTCGGGTTCCCCTCCAGCGGATCCCTGGAGAGAAGTGGTCGGTCTGCCACAGAGCTCACCATTTCCGGAATCTGCCCGGCTCGTGCTTTCCAGGACCATACCCAAGGGCAGCGCACAGCGCCCGCTTCTACCCCAGATAACTTCTTTCTAGGAGCGACTTTTAATAAACATCAGACACCCCAGAAACGGACGAGACCTGGTTCGGGTTCCCCTCCAGCGGATCCCTGGAGAGAAGTGGTCGGTCTGCCACAGAGCTCACCATTTCCGGAATCTGCCCGGCTCGTGCTTTCCAGGACCATACCCAAGGGCAGCGCACAGCGCCCGCTTCTACCCCAGTGCCAGCCCCCCCCTCCCTCCCGCAGCAAGGCCCAGGCCCAGTCCCCGGGGCGGGGCAGGAGCCAGAGCCGCTTGCCATGGAGAGAACCGTCCCGTCCCGTCCCGTCCCTCCCCTACAGAGCCCGGGCGCTGCGGCCCCAG